TATATATATATATATATATATATATATATATATATATATATATATATATATATATATATATATATATACTGTATATGTTGTATGTGTCACGCAGTGTGTAGAGGTAAGGCACACGAAGACGAAGGTCATCTACACAAAAGTTTAATAGAATCCAAGAAGATGATAATCCATGAAGGTAAAGGGAACACGTAACAAAACAACTTCAACAAAAGAAGTTGATGACTGTGACAGTACTCACCCCTCCGACCAGGTGCGACTTTGCACCATAACAAAAACAACAAAGGAGGGACGGAGTGGACTAAGGAGGAGGACATAGGGGATGAGTTGGGATGGTAACAGGAAATGGCGAAGGGCAGGCAGGAAGGCAGGCATATGGATGACCAAGGTCGTGACGACGGAGGGAGGAACCATGGCAGATCAGACGGAGGGAGGAGCCAGGATGGAGACAGGAGGGACTTGGAGCAGGAGGAGCCAGGCGGGACCCAGACCGCAGCCAACAAGGGAGGAGCAATGGTGGAGGAATGGCTGATGACTCCAGGGGGCCGACCGACAGTGGTGGAGCAGGTGGGAGAGATGCCTGGGGCGGAGACTGAGAGCCGACGAGCCAGGGTGACGGGGAGGATCTGGAGGGCCAAGGTGGAGCAGATGTCTCAGGTAACCGAGGCGTAGGCGGGGATCCGGAAGGCTGTGGTGAGCAGCTTTGGTCGACGGGCTGGGGCAGAGTCTGGGACTCGGAGGCAAGGGATCCTCCAGCCACGACGCCGATGGAGACTGGCGGACCCACACCACAGATGGTGGGCTGAGGGTGACAAAGGGGCTGGCAGGAGACAGAGAAGACTGGGATGAGGAATGGATGATGATAGGAGGAGGTGGGAAAGGGAGTCTGGGTGGGAGTTCATGACAGGTAACAGGATCTAGGATGATGTGTGCTGCCCACACACACCAAATGGCGACACCCATGACAGGGAGTGCCAGGGTCAGGGCAACTTTCTCCATGGTTGAGACAGGACAAACAGATAGTTCAGGGCATACAGGCAGTTCCAGGCAGACAAACAATTCAAAACAGACCTCCATGGTCATTTCAGGATAGATGGACAGTTCATTTACGGCCTCCCTGGCCGTAACAGGACAGACAGATAATAAATGCATGACCTACATAGTCGTGAAGGGACAGACGGACAGTTCATTAATGGCCTCCATGGCCGTAACAGGAGGGGCAGAGATTTCAGATGATGACGAAAGACTTGGTAGTTCTGAATAAAAGTCTGTTAACTCCCCTGAGTCCTTCCTCAGCTCACCCTCGGCGGTGGCACAGTGGGCGGGGCTTTCCTCCACGCCCTCGCTGTCCATTGTACAATCCTCCATGGCAGGCGTTGTTGCTGGCTCACGCACCTGGTCAGATGTTCCATGAGGTGCTGGCTCCGGGGCGATCCTCAGCTCTGTTGCTCCATTATGCGATGGTTCGTTGGTCGTGGTGGGCTCTGGCTCTCCGTCTGCGGTGGGCTCTAGCTGTTGCTCCGCGCAGCAGGGTGGTATTTGGCTGGACTCTGGGTCCGGAGTGGGGCTGGTGAGTTCCTCATCAGTGTGGCAGATGGTGAACTGGGATCCGTTTCTCACCAGTACCCACTCCACAAAGGCAGCGAAATTCCCCTCTGCTCTGCACGTGGTGTTGAGGCTCGCTATGTAGAGCGAGCAGAGCGCATTGTCCTGGTAGCTGGTATTGTTGGCAATGTCCAGAAATAGTCTGGTGTGGTCCTCGAGGGCAAGTTCCCCCTGCTCCAACAAAATAAATACTTGAAAAAAAGGGTTAGGGTTAGGGTTAGGGAATACAATGAAAATAAACGGGAATACAAACACCGCTATATTTACACATTTGTGGGTCCGGTATTCTGTCACGCAGCGTGTAGAGGAAAGGCACACAAAGACGAAGGCCATCTACACAAGAGTTTAATAGAATCCAAGAAGATGATAATCCATGAAGGCAAAGGTAACACACAGCAAAACAACATCAACAAAAGAAGTCCATGACTGTGACAGTATGTTGTCACCTCGCGTCTGCTGCCCTTGAACACACCAAACAGACTACAGCCAACTGCAAACTAGAATGTGTGTTCTGCATCTGTGTGTAAGGAGTTGTCTATATCAGCAGCTATCAATAGTCTATATTCGTCATTAAAAAGGAAAGCCCAAAACAAGGATATATGAGATATATGCAGATATATGAAACATAAACAAAGCAGCATTAGCTAAACTGAACATCCAATCACTCACCAACGGCCCCGTGAGCCCAACTAGGACCGACGTGTGTAACACACCAGAAAAAAAACTAGCCCGACAGACGCTCTCTGACATTCTAATGTTTACCGACAGTCAACCTTGGCTTGGTGTGTCCCAGACTTGATAAACAGTGGACCAGAGCAGAGCAGGGGATTTGGAAGACTAAAGTGGAGCCGGAGAAGGTGTAGACCAGGGGTGACTATTCCTGTTCCTGAAGATCTACCTGCCTGCAGAGTTCAGGCACTCTGGCAATTTTCCGGGACCAACGTGCAGTGTAGTTACTGATATGATTAGTTCTTTAGTTCAGCTGTGCCTCGTTAATTTACCTTGTTTGTATCAG